CACGGCACCCCTCACAGGAAGAGTGCAGAAGAAACAATTAAAGAGGGAAGAGTAGAAAAGAAAAACGCATCCATAGTGATTCCCCCAAAAGCAAAAAAGAAAGAAATGAAGAAATTGAGAAATAAAAAACAAAAAGTAAAAACGCACAACCAAAAAAAAAAAAAAAAACAATAAAAATATTTTAAAGCAAAAAAAAGAAAAGGAATGGGGGGAGTGAGAGGTAAAAGAAAATGGAATAAAAGAAAAACGAAAAAACAACAACAAAAAAACATTGAAAAATGAAAAAACGCACAAAAAAGCTTTATATTACGCACAGGAAAATAAAAAAAGCAAAAAAGTAGCAAACAGGGAATTAAATTTAAAATAAAAAAAAAAATGGAAAATTTATTTGAAAGGCAAAAATTAGTTCTTGGACGCAATTCTCTGCTGGGGAGGTCGCAATTGTCCCACGCGGCAGTCAGTCACGACTCACAGAGCGGCAAACCCCCACAGTCCCAACAGCAGGAAAAGCAACGGCACCGCCCTGCTCTCACGCACAGTGCCGCCATCACCTGTTGTTTCTCCAACGGCAGGGATGTTCGAAGCCGTCGCCCTCTCCACACTTCCCTGCGATGAATTCGCCGGCAATTGCTGTGTAGTGGCAGATGCATCCACCGCTGTCATTTGTTCTGCTTCACTTTCTTGTTGAGGCTGCTTCGATGCCGCTTGCACTACTCGAGCTTCAGAATTTTTACCTGGAGGAGACGCCTCTGCAGTGGACGCTTCTTCACTGGGTCCCTCTGCAGAAGAGTACTCCTCAGCAGGCAAATCGGCGGGGGACGCCTTTGTGAGAGCTTCCGCTCCAGGAGACAACGCCGGAGCAGCCACAGCCGCTTCTCCCTCCTCTCCTCGCTCCTCTCGCGTATCATCCAACTCTCTCGGAACGACAAGGCTGCTGCCGTTGGCGGCAATGGTGCACACCTCGCCGTACTTCGGGCACTTGATCTTCCCATACTGCTCAAAACCATTCAACTTCACTGTAATTACAGAGCCCTCATGGCAAGGCTCAAAATCCTTGCTGTCACTGTACTTCACCTTCACTGTTCCCTCCTCACACAGCACCTGTGCGCACACTCCTTTGACGCTTTTATGGCCATTATCGTCCTTCTTCTCCACCAATTCCGCATCCAGGCACCACGAATCACCGCCAGTCAGCGACCCAGGGAGAGAAGTCACAGTCACGTCCGAGCACGTCCTGTAAGTTGTCCAGGACGATATTTCGTGAAAGTACGAAGAAACAACAGGGCAAACGTCCCTATCCGCCAGATTCCCTTTGTCTTCAACGATGGTTGCGGTGCACTTCCCGATGTGACGGCGGTCGGAGGTGCAGCGAAGCGTCTCATTGTCAGTAGCATCGCAGAACATGTGAGGATACTTGGTGGGGAAATCTGTTATTTCACTGCACTTCTTCTCCAGGAAGTCGCAGCCACTGCGGTGGCCCCAGCTCATCGGCTCCGCCATGCTCCAATTCACGCGGTAGTATCCCATATCCGCGAACACCGCCATCGTCAGAGCCGTGTAGTAGCCGGCACCGACTGTGGGGGCCATCAGCTCGTCCCACGCGTGGCGTTCCTTCCAGTGAGGGATATTTCTTGACGATGCACCATCTTCGTCCTCCAGCTCCATTCCCTCGAGAGAGTCACAACCAAAGTGGGCTTTCGCCTTCTCCTTAACGTGCTTCCCCGCCACCTTCTTACGCCGCATCCCACGCACACTGTGCTCAGAAATTTTGATACTATTTTCCCCTATACTCTCTTGGCTGAACCCAAGAGCGTGCGCAATTTCGTGTGCGGCAACGCGAACGCTCCACGCCGTTTCAGTCATGTACTTTGGATCAAAGTTCATGGCGCCAATGGAAGGACGAAGATCACCCCATGTGCTACACGTGGCCGCCCAAACAGCCCTGCTTTCAGTGCCTGATGGCCTAGCAGCAGCGTAGATGATAAAGTCGACGTTCAGCACACCGTTTTTCCTGTGTTCAGTAGGAATCGTAAATTGGTTGCACGGACTTCCCATAGTCGGCACATGTAGGTTTTCAGAAGCGGGCTTCACAAGTAGCCGCTCAGCGTGCAGTTTGACGGCACCAGGTAGAATCTTTCCAGTGTACAATTGTTTCTTTGCCTCCGTCAAGACATGCTCTGCTTTGCATGATAACTTGTGCCCCAAGGCGTTGTAGCACTCTCCCTCTCCCTCTTCGCAGTACACCTTCTTCCTTCTACCCGTTCCTCCCTCCAAATCCTCCGTGGACACCGCCATGCGGATCGGCTCCCAGCCACTGTCGTCATCCTGTGTGGCGACGGTGTACGCCTGCATCGCGCCCTGTCCCTTGCGTGGCACCTCACGCACCACCGCAGTCCGCAGTGGGCCGCTCCTCTCCATCATTGCGTCAAACCCACAGCGGTATTGTGTGGCGGGAGCGGCGGCAATACATCCACTGGCGCAGTAAATCAGCAACACCACCAGTGGGAAAAGCGACGCGGCGTGGCGTGGCTGGCACATGGCCTGAGTAAATTGCATTTCTTTGTTTCTTGTGAGTAGCAGCAGCAGCGCAGCCTGGATGCGGGAGAAGAGAAGCAAAGAAAAAAGAGGGAAGAGAAACAGGAAACAGTTTATTGCCAGTGATGCGTCAGGATGCGGTACAAACAGCGGAGTAACAGGAGACCACAGAGGCAGCCACACACACCGCGTGCGCACCGACTCCATCAAAGGGAAAAACCGTCAATCCGTCGTCGAGGAAACGTCCATCACCGTCGCACGCATTCTTCATCGGCCACAACGCTCCCTGCACGCGGAGTGTTTGGTCTGCTCTCCTCGTGGTGTCGCAGTATTTGTGTGACCGGCCACGCAACAACCACCACTTGTTCAGCGTCCGTCCCACGTGCAGGAGCAGCGCACAGCGCTCTCCCTTTCTATCCCAACAGCTCATAGGGGTAACGCCACCGTACGGCAACCCCATTACGATGGGCAGCCCTGAAACGGGAATGCAAAGAGTCATGCGGACGGATCTTCTTTCACTGCTCTCCCTTCGGGATGCTCAATAAAGAGCGTGAAGGCGTTGCAATGATCATGACCGTTTCTTCTGCACCGCCACTCCAAAAGGTTACTGTTAGTCCACGGCGTGGAAGTCACCGTGTGCGCCGCTGATCTCTCCACCGACCCACGAACACGCCGCCCTTCCAACACGATGGATATGAGCGTGGCCAAAGGCAACCACAAGCGTCAACACACAGGGACCCATAGTTTCCGCCGTGACCATCCGCAGAGTGCGTGCGTCCTCAGCGTTCACGCCGCTACACAGCGTGTGCCAAATGGTGTGCGTGTGCGCATGTGCTTGTGTGTTTGGCAGCGCCTATACTTGCAGAGCAGCGGTGCGCCACAAGAGAGTCTGAAGAAAGCAACGGCAGAGAGAGGCAGATAGCACACACGCAAATTACTCATATCATCATACACACACACACAGCCGCGGAATGGGTGCACTCAACCACAAAATCAAAAAGGAAAACAAAACAAAAAGCCGAAGCGTGGGACGACCAGCGCACACACACTCTCATTGCTCCCGTAAAGCAAAACACACACACAGAGGGAGAGAGAGAGAGGTCGCCCACTCAATGCAATAAAAACAAAACAGAAACAGTTACGGTGCTCCGCCCATGCAGCCAGGCAGGACGGCAGCGGTGCGTGTGGTGCAAAAGAGAGCACCAACGGGCCTGCATGGGTGTGCATGCATATATACAATGGGCACATTATTGTGTGTGCCTCGTGGGGTGAGGTGAGGGCGAGAGTCCATGCAAGGGGACACACACGCACAGAGAGAGAGAGAGTGAAAGACGAGTGTGTGTGCGGGCGGTGCACGGCTCTCTCTCACTCACACTCACGCGGCCACCACCGCCGCCGCACACGCAACAACAAGAAGAAGCAAAAGAGGGGAGGTGGTGTGGGAGACCGCGGTGCTGCTCTCATTGTCGCCAGGCGTCGTCGTACTACTTTGCACAGCGGCGGATCCGACTGTTGTTGCGTCTTCATTCCCAGCTGTACTCTCACGGTTCTGCTCTTCATCTTTCAGTGGGGCACCAGGCGTTTTTGCATTTGGAGGTCTTTTATGTGCCGTTGTTATCCGAGCTGCCGGTGGTTCCACTATCACTGGGAAATGAAGACTGAGCTGTTTGGTTCTGGCTGCTGCCTGAAGATGTATTCTGCGTCGCTTGTTTCGGGTGCGGCTACTCTCCGGAATTTATCCTCTTGTGATTCAGCCATATTTATTGGATCTTGTGGTGGTGCTGGTGCTCCGTCCGTGCCTTTCCGTGCCTCTGTCACCTTCAGTCCCGTTTGTTCTGTTCTTTCGTCCTTGTCGTAGAACTTTTTGCTTTTCAATTCCACGCTGTGTTGATGCGATCTTTCCGCCACTGCGTCACCTCTGGGCACATGACTGCATCCCCCGAGGCTGCTTGGACTGTGCTGCAGCCTTCCGCCTCTGGGTGATTCCTTTGCCCTGCTTCACTGCGACCGTCATCGGAATGCGGCTGGTGGCCAGAACCACACGCTGGGCTGTGAATTTGGGCGTCAACACCACCATCCACCTTCAAGTAAAGAGAAAGATGAG